TTTAAATTTAAATGGCTGCTGCGCTGAGCCGATCAAGAACATAAGAATGGCCGTACTGGGTCAGACCAAAGGTTCATCTAGCCCAGTATCCTGTCTACCGACAGTGGCCAGCACCAGGTGCCACAGAGAGGGTTGACCGAAGACAACGATCAAGCGATTTGTCTCCTGTCATCCCTCTCCAGCCTCTGACAAACAGAGGCCATAAGTGATCCTTTCTTCCAGTTTGGTGAATTAAAAACTGATTGAATAAGTTGGACTGAGTACTCATACACTGCTTCAATGGGTGCTGCAAACGTCATACTTGTGAACATGCATGTAAACAAAGTATCTGGTAGCCTTCCTGGAGCTAGCCCTAGTGAACTGCATTTGGCCCTCAGGCTTCTTTTTGCCCACTACTGGGGTAGTGTTAGATTGTGAATTATTTTGGATGCAAAGACAAATGGCTGTCTGAACTACTGATGTTGGAGGAGAGATGTAAAACCAAGTTCATTGGAGACCCCGCAAACCCTATGTATGATACAGACGGCATCTATAGGCTTGACAGAAGCCTATAAAAGCTGTAATTCACAAAGATCAGGGACAATAAATAAACAACAAGAAATAGAAGGCAAACTAACCTAACGACAGAAGGTCTGATTCAGTGTCTGGGTTGAGTCAGCAAAAACCTGCATATTTTTATTGTTTAAAAGTCTTCCTGATGGAGCCACTCGTACAAGCAGCCTGTAATCCCTGCTCCTTAGAGGGATCGGGGGGTTGTGCTACATAGGAAGTGGACAGAATTGTTGGAGGTTAGGGGATGAGGCTAGTAAACCCAGGAGAGGCAGAGTACGTCTAGACTACATGCCTCTGATTACAGAGGCATGTAGATTAGGCTACCCGGCATAGGAAAATGAAGCGGCGATTTAAATAATCGCCGCTTCATTTAAATTAAAAGGGCTGCCGCGCTGAGCAGATCAGCTGTTTGTCGGCTCAGCGCGCTAGTCTGGATGCTCCACGGTCGATATCAAAGGCATTTGTCGACCTCCCAGGTAAACCTCATCCCAGGAGGCATACCTGGGAGGTCGACAAATGCCTTTGATATCGACCGCGGAGCATCCGGACTACCGCGCTGAGCCGACAAACAGCTGATCGGCTCAGCGCGGCAGCCATTTAAATTTAAAAGAAGTGGCGATTATTTAAATCGCCGCTTCATTTTCCTATGCCGGGTAGCCTAATCTACATGCCTCTGTAATCAGAGGCATGTAGTCTAGACGTACTCTGCCTCTCCTGGGTTTACTAGCCTCATCCCCTAACCTCCAACAATTCTGTCCACTTCCTATGTAGCACAACCCCCCGATCCCTCTAAGGAGCAGGGATTACAGGCTGCTTGTACGAGTGGCTCCATCAGGAAGACTTTTAAACAATAAAAATATGCAGGTTTTTGCTGACTCAACCCAGACACTGAATCAGACCTTCTGTCGTTAGGTTAGTTTGCCTTCTATTTCTTGTTGTTTATTTATTGTCCCTGATCTTTGTGAATTACAGCTTTTATAGGCTTCTGTCAAGCCTATAGATGCCGTCTGTATCATACATAGGGTTTGCGGGGTCTCCAATGAACTTGGTTTTACATCTCTCCTCCAACATCAGTAGTTCAGACAGCCATTTGTCTTTGCATCCAAAATAATTCACAATCTAACACTACCCCAGTAGTGGGCAAAAAGAAGCCTGAGGGCCAAATGCAGTTCACTAGGGCTAGCTCCAGGAAGGCTACCAGATACTTTGTTTACATGCATGTTCACAAGTATGACGTTTGCAGCACCCATTGAAGCAGTGTATGAGTACTCAGTCCAACTTATTCAATCAGTTTTTAATTCACCAAACTGGAAGAAAGGATCACTTACAAATTCTGATGCCCAAAGAGGTAGAATGGACCTTCATTATATTGTGAGCTTTTGTTTTGATTGTCTGCTTGTTTTAGGTTTCTAGTACAAGTAAGAGGAGGCTTACTTGTCTGTAACTGAAGGTTCTCTGAGATGTTTGGATATTTGTATTTCATACATGGGTGCACATATGTGCTATGCACCAGAGTCCAGACATTTTTCTTAGCAGTGTCCATTGACCCATATATAAACAGTGCTGCCTCTTGTGCTCACAGCCAAGGCCATATGGTAGGTTGTGTGGGTTGAGGCCTCTCTGGTGTCTCTTTTAGCACTGAGTAGTCCAGTCTACAGACGAAGGGATGGAAGGTGGGTATAGGAATTAAAATAGGAATTATACATCATGAAGAACTTCAAGTTACAGATGAGTAAACTTCCTCTTCTTCAAGTGATACTCCTTGTATGTATGCCATATGCAGGTAAGTAGTGAGCAGTCATTAGCATGGAATCTACAGATATTACTTAGTAGATGATGTAATAGATGTCAATATGGAGCGCCAGACTGCACAACAGCTGCTCTAAAGTCATAGTTTGGGTATCCCCTTTAATCCTCCCATCCTGCAGGACAACATTTCAATGGATGCCTCCTTTATGGGTAAGGGAGACTATCTAAACCACTAGACAGACCTCCTGCCCCCATACCACGAGAATATAAAGGGGGGGGGTTGTTATTTCCACTCCAACTCATCTGATGAAGTGGGTTTTACTCACAAAAGCTCATGATTCTATACATTTATTAGTCTCCAAAGTGCCACAGAACTACTTGCTGTTTTTAATGTGGAAGTAGGCATTCTTCATGTCAAGAGCTGCAAACAAGGCCCATATGGGATGCGAGATGGGATAATCAATGTAGGCATCACCACGTGAAATTTGGATTTTCTGATAAAAGTGGAAAAGTAACAAAAGCTTGAGAATCAGGGGGTGCCCTCGCCCTTTCTTCAGGATGACGATATTCTGGGAGCAGAAGCCTCATCCCATACAGGGAGGTGCTTCCCACTCTCTGGTTCCCTTCTTGAGAAGATCATCTGCTGCTTCTTGAATGCACTGATGGGACGAGACCCCTCAGGCGTCCAGGGCAAGGGAAAATAGAGAAATTCTATGGGCTTAGGCATGGTGGATGATCTCCAGTGCCCAACTCTTCATAGCGATCTTGTCCCAATATAGGATGAATAAGGTACAACAGTTCCCAAAGTCAACCACAGGTGGCAGGGGGGGAAGTTTGCATGTCTCAATCATCACATCAAAACTAAGACTTCAGGTGCTGGTAAGAAAGGATGGAGAAAGTGGTTGTGGCTGACGTGGGGTTTCCTGCTCACTGTTTATAGGCTGGATAAATGTAGGCAGGCATAGATGGAACGGATGTCTCTGTTGTCTGCACTGTAGGGCTGGGATATATATACACTGACACACAGCAATGTGGCCCTGGAGTCCTTCAAAAAATGACAGAACTTGTCTGTTTTGCTGTTAAACAGATTGCCCTCAGTATGGGGGACGTTCTTGATTATAATTTGTACCTTCTTGGGAAAGGCAGACCACTAGAGTTACACATCCCAGCATATGATGATTTTTAGTAGCAGTTAGCTGTAGGGTCCTGCTCTTGTGCCCATGAGAGTGTGCTGTGCTCTCATGACTGGGCTTCTTTTTCAGCACTGATACCACCAGATCCAGGGCACATGAAGGTGTTGGAGGAACACTTAACGCCAATAACAGTTGCTGTATTGGGGGTCCAATGGTCCCAGGTCTGAGTGAACACGTGGTCTCATGGCTCCCCTCCAGGAGGAATTTAGGGAGGTGAAGCTCTCAGGTGCAGGATGGAAAGGATTTGGAAATTGAGCATCGAGCCAGAATGTGAGCCTCATGGATGCAGTAAAGAAACCTCTGGTGTTTATAGATCATGGATAATGAGCATGGGCAGGAAACTGTTTTTTGAACCCCAGAAGGGAGGGTATAGTCCATGGAAAGTGGAGGCAGAATGGGATGGACCACAAAGGAGGATAAAACTATCATTAGTTCTACAATTACTATCCTACATCTACTGCACAGAACATTTTTCAACTAGCCATTTTGTTTCTTTATGATTGTAGTATTCTTTCTTGTTGGGACAGTTGGTGCTCTTTTCAGTTAAAGTAGGAACGCTGGTGTCATGGCCCAAGTAATCTGCCCAGTAACAAGAGGGCAAAAAAGATCTGCACATCTTGTGTTATGGACTGTCCATCCTGTGACAATGCAGTGTTTAGGATATCATAGCTGAGACTACAGGTCAACAAAAGAAGAGACGATCTGCCTGCCGTTCTTGTTCCTGGTCATGTCCATTCACAAATCCCGGTGTTGTATGATCACGTGTCTCTATGTCTGACATTGTTGTGGCTCCTGCTATGCGCCAGGATCTGTATGGCAGTGTATGTTGCTTGTCAGTGACAACCTCTGATCTAGTGATGTACTGACTTACTTGATTTATTTGTATACCTACCTTAGGCTCTTTGGGATCCCTGGCTTCAAGCTATTTTGTGGAGTTGACAACCATGTGCTCTGTAGTATCTTCTATTTGAATTGATATTTAGTTGGGAATCCTGTTTAACAAATTTAACTTCACTGGTATTTTATATCCTGTTTGTTTCATTTTATTTCTGTGACTATTACCCTCAGTGACAGATAAAGGAGGAAGTATGAGTTTGTTAAAGAAATTCAGTAGTTCCCCATTGAATCCCCTTTCTGGGTTAACATTACAACTATATACAAATGGACAGAAGTCACTCTTGTAACAAAAACTAAGAGTAAGAAGGAACATGGCTTCTGACTATAGCTATATGGCAGTAATAAGAAACTGGAGAGGCATCAATCCATATTAAATATTATCCCCTCATCTGTGAGCACAAAAGGATGTATGATGTGTGTGCAGGTCAACAGATACAGCTTAAGAAAACTTCCTGATTCAGGTGGTTGGCCATCATGCATATATGGAATACATGTAGGCACCATTACTGAAAGAACAACAGCAGAGTTTTTATATGCTTAACTTTCCAAAAGAAACAAATAATAATGTGATAAAACACACACATATTTTTGGGGGAAAAAGTCACTAACCTAGCTCTCCATTTTCAATCACTTCAAAAGCAGCCCAGATTTCATCCTTTTTGGGAATTATGTTTTTTATTCCTAATACATCGCTGGTTAATTCTTCTGCCTCTGTCAAAGGCGATACCTGTAATACAGATTGTAGTAGTTTAGAAGTTAATAGTTTCTGAAGTACTAGTGGCTGCTTTGTTGTGCAGACCATTTATACTTTTGTGATGGAAAAACTGTCCAACTTTTCTTTTTAAATGCAATCACAGAAATGCCAAGTTTGTGAATCCAATTGTTATTTCTCAAATTGCTGGCCAATACATTTCCATCAACTTTGTTGCATCAGATTGAAAATGATACAGCTAAAAACTGTAACTTCAAACCTTTCCTTTTTCCTTCCCTTCCCTCTTCCCAAAATTAAAACACTACAGCTCAGGACTATTTGAAATGGAAAGTAAAAGCATGTTGTGATCTGAAAAGGTAACAATGACTAGAGAAAGACTATATTTTAGTATACCTTTTCCTCCGCCCCCCACTCAGTATTACATACTTTTGTGGTCTTTCCAAAAAATAAAAATCCAGGATTTTTTGGTTATGTCCCATGCAACATAAAGTGATATGAAATGGAATTAGATAAATTAATAAGTATCTTATTGGAAAAAACTATTTTAGCCCTATCCACCCTTCATTATTGCAAAAATGTAATGTTCTCCTTTACATTTGAACATTAGATCAGTATGGCTTAGAATCCAGTACTTTTCAGGAATGCTATTAGATCCAGGGCTGGAAATCTCAGTTATAGTGAATGGCAAGATTAGGCTTCTCAGCGCCTAAGCAAGGCAGACAGACACTGGGAGAAAGAGACAACAGGATGAAGACCTTCTAAATGACCTTGTGCTGCTAAATAAAGTGTAGAAATCACTAGACAATTGTTAGTTTTCCCATCTAATGCAGGAGTGCAGTGGTGTCATTGTGAGCATCAATACTGCTGTACCGTGCCATCAAATTGAAGGTTGAGGTCACCGTTTTAAAATTTTGCCATAGATTTTTGCTTAAAAGTACAAGAGAAATACCATTTACAGATTTTAATTAAGCCACAGCTTGAATTTAATATATTTAAATGAAGATGAGAAAACACATGAACTGATAAACACAAATGTAAGAACAGGCATGCTAAAACTACAAATGCAAACAAATGTGTCTCATTTCATCAAAAAAAAGTTTATCAACAAGTTATATCGCTTTTTTATACTAACCCTGATTATACTACTACACTCTGGCTCTTTTCTTTCCACATAAACTTCAATTAACAAATCTCCAGCTTGAGAAACCTAAAATAAAAACACAAATTAAAAAGGCATTAAATTTATATAACTTGATTCTTAGTTGGGAAAATACAATCACTATTTCACAACGATACACAAACCTTCTTTCATTTTCTGTCTTGCAGAAAGCACTAGGTACTGGCTGTGGAAGAAGCCATTCTCTTGCATCTAACCAGTTATAGGTAGCGATCCCTGTCTGTCATGGAAATTGCAGAAGTCACAGATTCAAGTGCCCTTCTGCGATGTCCCTGACTTCCACATACTGAGCCTAGGGCCAGACCACAGTGGCTCTGCTTGAGCTGCCCCAAGTCACCAGCTGCTGCTGAGATGGCCCCACAAATTTGCCCCCAGGGAGCCAAATCAGCCATTGGCCCCACACTCCTTAGCAATGCCTCCTCCTAAAGATTTAGTCTGGGTGGGGGAGCTGACAGCCTTGACAGGCCTCTGGGCAAGGTGTGGGGAAGACAGCTATGCGGGGGGCTGTGTACCCTCCCCCCAGGTCAGTTCTTAACACTACCCAGAATGTACCACATGGTGCTCCAGAGATAATTTAAAGGGCTCGAGGCTCCGGCCACTATGGCTGCCACCATAGCAGCCTGTTGGCCAGGCCTGGTCAGGTGTATTTATAGCCTGTGACCTGTCGATGACTTTTAGTAAAACTGCCCATAACTAAATCATTGCCTTAATGATAGGAAGTCTCTACTGTAGGGTTGGCCACTGATTTGGAAAGAAATCTGAAATTGACTAAAACAATCATGATCATACCTAACAAAATTCATAGGAAGTTTAGGTTCAGGAATAGCCATACTGGTGAACGTTAACAGGCAACCAGCTTGTGCTTCAGACGTTCATCTTGAAAGTACAAGCTGAAGAGATCTTTGTTTAGTTGTCCATGCTTGGAGGTTCACTCTGCCTTATTAGTCAAACTTCATGGTCACAAGTTAATATCAAATTTACCTGATACACTCAGCAACATGAACCTATTCCACAGTCATGTTAAAAGAATTTGGGATATGGAAAGTTCATGCAGTTAAACTCCTACTGCCCTTTGCACAGCAAAAGTTCTTTTTCTCAGGAATTTTAAATTCTTCATCCACAATGACAAATCACTTTGGAGTTAATGCAATTCACTCTGGCAGCATGGCCAGGTCACAATGTCATATGGTAGCTGCACCCGCAGAACTACTAATGCTCCTGAGAATGTTTGCCCAGCAAAGTCAATGAAACAGAAATTAAAGTCCCCTGCCTTAATACAGCAGTGGGAACTTAACGATGGTCCATCTACAGCTTCTAGGATGTTCTCTTAGGTGGGTGGGGGCAGCTTGTGCCCCTAGAAGGGGAAGAGCCTTGGATGGAAGAGGTAAAGCTGGGGAGCCAGCCCACAGCACCATCTGGAGTGCATCATGTCAGCACCCACCCTCCTGACCTCCCAGCCCTTAGAGCTGCCAGGAGCGTGCTGTGTGGTGCCCTGGTGGCAATTTTAAAGGCCTGGGGCTCCAGGCAGTCTTCCCTCTAAGATTTTCTATCCATGAGTGGAGTGAGTTGTGTCTTGTGCACCAATATTGACTTCATGTGCGCTAATTCGGATGTGTGCTGACCCAGCCAGGGCTGCTGAAGCAGGTGCTGCTACAACGCAGCTCTGGCCCTGGATGGGGCCACAGGAGCAGGCACTGCCCATGATGTGGATGTGGCTCTGGTCCTGGTCTCAACTACCAGAGCAGGCGCTGCCCACCACAAGGCTCCAGCCCTGAGGAAGGGCTGAAGCTAGGGCCAGGGTCATGTAGAGGCTGCTCTGCTGCTCCTAAAATAGGGCAGTCCCCACATGGCCCCGCTATAGAAAAGCTGAGCTGCCATTGCCCAGCTCTGCTCAGGAGGTGGCTGGTCCTCAAATTCTTGGTGAGTGCCCACGCAGGCATGCAGCTTAGAGGAAACCCTAGCTCCAGGTTTTGCCACAGCTGTCCGGGAGCTCCAAACCCCTGGAATCCCCAGGCTCCAGGGCAAATGCCCCCTTTGCACATTACTCCCTTTCCTATTAGAAGGCCAGGATAGACATATGCCAATTTAAAAGTAAATAATTTGTCACTCTGGAAAATGTAAGTCTGTGATTGTGCATGCCGTAGCAGGGTTTCAGGGAAAATATAATAGTAAAGAGAATGAAAAGAATGTGGGGAGAAAGGAAGGTTAATAGTTACTTTGAAGAAAACTGGACCTTTCATTAGATATACATATTTAATACAACATCACAACTAGCATTTAAGTGATAAGTACAATGATTTGGGTCACAATTCTGAGATACAGGCACACAGTTGTGCTATACAATGCATGCTTACATGCATATATATGGCTTAAAACCCAAGGAGGCTGAAAAGGGCGAACAGACTCTTAATCATAATAGGATATTGAGTAGCATAATGAGGTAGCAAGAGAAGCTAAGAAAAAAAAAACTTTGATTACTTTACAGAAACTGAAAAGTAAATACACTATATCACTCAGTTTTATGAATATTGACATATGGAGAAAATGTGACTTTCAAATTAGCTTAGCCTCTGAAGAGAAAAATAATGGAAGTATTTGTGAGGAAAAACTTTATGAAGCTATTTTAAAGAAAGCTTCTTAATTATAGTGGTAGAAAATCTTGTTTTCTGGTAAAGTTTGCTTTTTAGAAAAAGGGTTGCAAAAAGAATGAAGTTGACATTTGATTTCTACTGGACTTACGTAAACAACTGTACATAAAGGAAATGTGCTGCAAATTACAACAGCAAACAAAAAGAGCTGGCAAAGTGTTCAGTAGACAGAACACAAAGAATGGTTAATGAACTGCCAACTGGAATGGAAAACGAGATCATTTTAAGTGACATTTCAGACATGAGACCTTTCTTGGGTTGCAAAAGAAATCTGGGCAGGTTAGCTTTTCTACAGAAGTTTTCTATAACAGCAGCATGGAGAAAACACTATAGCTCTCCCCTTAAGTTTAAAGTGCCTGCATTATTTACTCTCCGTACTCCATCTCCTGCGTGAATGTATTATCATGAGACAGCAACTGTTTTTCTAGAAAGCAGTGTCTTGGTTTTCAGACCTTAATTGAAATATGATTATCAGTAAATTTCAAGGGCAATTCACAGCTTGCATAGACATGTTAGTTCTTGTAGAGCTAATGCACTATTAATAGTGGTATAGTTATGGTAACACTGGCTACTGACTTAGTTTGCACAAGCAGCTGCCTCCCTTTCCAACTGACCTAATGTGGCAATGAAGTTGAGAGAGGTTTGCTAAATTGGTTGGCTGATTAAACTGTGGCAATAGGATCATTGAGGATTTTGCTGCCTGCCTTAAGCTATCCCTTTCTTTCTATAGGGAAGGAGAAAGCATACGAGGATTTGAAGGCAGGGAAGATGCCTTATAGACAGCTACACACAGCTGCTTCTCCAACCTCTGAGATTCTACAGTACACAAAGATGCTCCTCCTGACAGGCACTGTGAGATAGCACACTGCTGTGGGTGTAGTGCTGATGCAGATAGAGAGAGAGAGCAAATTGTGAGTTGGATACAAGTCGACTCCTGCAGATGAAGATCAAATGTGGATCCACTCTTTTGTATGCAAGTATGGTTCTACCCATGGGTATGCATTTATGACAGCTAATCCATGCTATTGTTTGCTGCTGCCCATGCTATAGTGGCTACGCTACTATTTGTAGCTTGCTAGCTATAAGAGAGCCAGTGCAAGTGTGTCTGTATGAGCTGAGAATCATACACACCCCTGGCTTCAAATGTAGACATAGCCACAATTTCAAAGGATTAGACTGTTGTGTACCTTATGCACTTTATGAATGGCAGCCAGCTGCAATTCGTATTCATAATGTCTGAGGGGAAGGTTGTGCTTTTCAAAAGCACTCAGTATTGGCCTAACTCTATTCCCAGTGAAGTCTGCTGTACTACCTAGTCATTTCAATAGAGCATAAGAACCAACAAACTAGATCAGTCTATCTAGCTTAGGATCCTGTCTTCTGACAGTGGCCAGTGCCAAGTGTTTCAGAAGGAATGAACTGAACAGGTAATCACTGAGTGATCACCAGTCACCCACTCCCAGCTTCTATCACTCAGAGGCTAAGGACGCCCACAACATGAGGTTGCATCTCTGACAGTCTTGGATATAGGAACTTATTATTATTTACTAATTCTTTTCTGAACCCCATAATAATACATATCTGGCAGGTAGGACAGAAGCACAATACTCTAGAGGAAGTTTCTGGAGTCACTTTCAGTAGGCATGCAGAACACCCCATGGAGAGTATGAAGTCTATATAGCTTGTCTTTTATGAATGCACAAAACTAGCTCTCCAAGGAGTGGATGAATACATAAATGTATGCATGAGATACATATAGAAAGTTTCCAAAAGATGCACTTGAAAGCTGAGACATCACCATAATACATTAGAAGCATCTGATCCAGCAAAAAACAACTCTGCAGTTGCTGACACACGAGTTCCACAAGACTCGGTTGCTGCTTGGCCACAGACACCAATCCTAATTTAGAAAGGGAAAAATATTAATTTTGACACCCTAGTTGCCACATATGGTCATTATAGCCTTGGGAACAACTTCAAATGAAGCTGAGGTAGGAGGGCTCCTGACATTTTAACATAGTATCAGATTTCCTGCCTTGTTAAAACCAAATATAAAGACAGCGCTGGTAAAAGAGAAAGGGACAGAGATAGATTCATTTATTTTAGAAGATCTTCCTGCTCAAAACGACTCCCAACTGAAACTCAAATTGACTCCTGGGACACAAAAAATATTTGGAATGTTTATCTGATCTTTACATCAAAAAAAGTACAATCAAGTTTTCAAAATGAAGCCATAAAATGTAAAATCAGTCATTGGTAAGCATTAGTAGCCTGTGTTTTACAAAGAATGAGAAGATAGAGTATTTTCAAGTGGGGATGCTTAACTTTATGTAGGTGAAGAAATAGTTATAGATTGTGCACTTATCTTCAATTATCTTCTCAAATGTTGAACGGGTAATTATTTTTTCCTTTACATTTTTATAAAGTTAACTAAAACAACCACCGAGCGACAAGCTCTTCTATGCTGTTAATGACTATTTAAGTTAAGGTCTGCTGGCTTCTTTTTCCATTTCCCAGCCAGTCACTGATATGAAATGACTTTCCACTCAGTGATTATTACTTATACAATCCAGAAAATCAACCTAAAGTGTTGCTCTGCTTTTGTGATTCAAATGCAGTACATTACAGTTCTGTGTACACAAAGTTGACAGTGACTTAATTAAACACTGCAGCTCCATTAATATATTTTACAATGGATAGCAAAACCTTGAATACCTAATATTATTTTCCCAAATGGTGAAAGTAGTTCTAGGACATGTTACATTTTGTTTTCCTAGGGTACGTCTAGACTACCATGTTTTGTCGACGGAAGTTTTGTCGACAGATACTGTTGACAAAACTTCCGTCGACAAAGCGCGTCCAGACACATTGAGTTCTGTCGACAAAGCAAGCTGCTTTGTCGACAGAACTCCGTAGTCTGGACGCAGTGTTACAGGCAATAACACCTTCTGTCGACAGAGTTCTGTCGACAGAAGGTGTTATGCCTCGTAAAATGAGGTATACCAGCGTCGACAAAACTGCTGAGTTCTGTCGACGTTATATAGTGTAGATGCTGGTATAGTTTTGTCGACAAAAGTCCACACCCCTAGAAACCATGAGAAAAGCTAATAAAGCAACAATTGCTTTAATTTAGTATCATATATACTTTTTGCAAGTCACTGAGAAGAGAATGACATATTGTACAATAAGTGACACTAAGCCATTCAAAACTACAAAAGTCTGAGGACACTACATTAAAGGTTCAAGCCATAAAACAATTTATAACGCTTATCCATTTCACCCACAAGCAGTGAACAACAAGCCTTCAAAATGCTACTAGGGTTGCCGAATGGTTTCAACAAAAATACCAGACACACTTGACATTACATCACAATCTACATTGCATCTTATTTAGAAAATACCAGACATTTATATTTTCTCAATTTGTTTCCCAAACAGAAAGCTCAAATACTGGACTATCCGGTTCCAAACCGGACACCTGGCACCCTAAATACTACTTGTCCGGACTTGCATGGTATAGTATTTTCTGGAGAGAGTGAAAAGAGGAGTAATTCACTGTAAAAACCCATCAATGAAAAAAAATTTCTCTTTACAGAGTAGGATTTCTCAGAACACACATCGCTGATACATTTCCCTGTTGATCTGTGGATGGGGAAACTGAAACAGTATTTTTGGAATAGATTTTTTTCACTTGGAACTGAGAAAAAAGTATACGTTTCACAATAGTTTTCCTCTGGAGTAAGCAAACATGTAAGAATGCTGCACAAAGTACAGCACAAAGCAGAGCTAGAGAGAATAAAGATGAAATCATGGATGTGTTGGAGCTGTACAGTGAATCAGGAATTCTCTGAGATGGTACTGCAGAAAAAGGACATGCATTTACTGTGAGATGGTACATCTACTGTTTCACTAAATATTGAACAGTGATTTGATACTATCTATGGAAAAATCAATGGCCAGGCACTTCACCCCAGCTGGGGGCCCATGAAGACTTGACAATTTTATTACTCATCATACTCAACACTACCACTGGAGGGTTGTTTTTTTTCTCCATGAAAAGGAACAATTTAAGGGGGAAAAAGATCTTTAAAAAACAACTGGACAGGTTAATTTAAAGAAATTGTTCATAAAAAGTTTTCATCCATTTTCCTAGAATAAATTAAATGTAATTTCTAGGCAGTAGTTTCCCTTATGTTTATATAAAATCTTTGAAATAAATACTATCTTTCAATTTAAAAGTAGAATCTGAGGATTCTAGGAGTGTATTTATTTAAAAACAGCTAGTTTTTGAGTATACATTACTATAAGTTATTTCCTGGAGTGTCAATGTATCCATAGATAGGAATTATGAAATTTTACACAAAATTTAATAGCGACTCAAATATTCTTTAAAATAAATATAAAAAAAGATAATCTGGCAGTTGAATACATAATTAAATAGAAGCACTGACACTACTATTTTCAAAAGTCTAAATATCCCATTACACCACAAGTCACTTAGCTGTGAGCTGGAAATGCCTTTTTTAAAAATTTCTTTGTATTAAGTTTGAAATTAAATTGCTTTTTGTTGAAAGAATTTAAACTCATCAGTTCACAGGTTGATGCGAATCAAACCAAAGGCTATAAAATGCAGTGGATGAAACAATCACATACAAAGTCTCATTATAAATGGAGCAGAATTTGTTGCAAGCTAAGTGAAAACAATAGTCAGAAACACGGGAAGCTTAGTTTTTAATTTTTAAAATGAGAAAGAAAGCCTCTAGCCTCTTTCCTTTCGAAAACAGCCTCCAGAACAAGAACCAAGCAGAGTGCCATAGTGATTCTTCCAAAGAAACATGAAACATCACAGTTTGCCTCTTCCTAGCATTCCACTTTGTCCAGAATTGTAGTTCTGGCTGAACGTACTCAACTATCTGCAGCCCCGAAACTCCTAAATTGGTGACCTGTGCACAACACTTCCTATTTCCCTTTTCCACCAACTCCAAACACATCAGAGCACCAATGGAATCTTCACTCTCAAGGCACTTCTGTCATTTATGCTTAAGAAGTAGTGACACCAAAAGATACTGCAAATAGCATCATAGCCATTGGAATTTCTTCCCATGATTTCCTGAGGGGATGAAGTTCTGTGCTTTTTACTGGCATTTCTTGGTGCCAAGTCTCCAGGCAATGACACAGTTAGAAGTTAGAAAAAAATATCTTTCATCCAAGTTTCTATATGCTTCAGCCTTAGGCATCAAGGTTTTATTCCTCTCAGCAACAGTCTTCTCTCAATAGCATCACCACTCAAAAGCAATAGAGATCAGATGTTGTTGAATTTCTTTTCTAATGTAAACTTCAGGGGCATATGGTGATAACATATTTAGTCCTTTGCACTGGCAAGTCAGGTGCATGACTGAAACCAGTGGCAATACAATTTCCACACCCTCCCCTGCAGGGTATATGAGGCAAAATTTTCACAAAGTGAGAGGCGCGCGTGCGCGCACGCGCACACACACACACACAGGCATTTAAGTTTCCACACATGCACATCCGCAAAAAGGCCCTTTTCTCCAGGGTAATACAATTTGATGTCTATGTAGGAAGAAGAGAAGACAAAGTAATACAGCACAGCAGAAATACAGAAATCATGGAACATATGACTTCCATGAACACTGTAGCAAACCTACATTTAATGATGAATTAAGTTACTTTGAGATTTACAATGTGTTATATCACATATGTAACCAAAAAGATCAGTCACCAATATTGGCACATCTCAACTTGACTACTATAACTACTATAACTCTTGTACCTCTACAGAATTCCTCAACTTCACAGGGCTTCACCCCAATCTTATTACAGGTTTCCTACACAGATTACAAGTTCCACTTTTGTTGTGGTTAATTCAGCTGCCCACCTGTTCAACAGCTTCCCAAGGTTCAGCTCATTGTTATGGTGTCTAATTGGGATTACACATGAATTCTACTCAAACCCTAGTTAGCTTGGAACTACTCACTTAACAGTTCTTGCAGAGAATATGGCACGCAACAGCTTCATAATAACATTACAGAACTATTCAAAGTGGATTAAAAAATCTTTATGGTTTCAAGCCCCTCCTTGCATTGAAAATAACCATTTTTCATGTGTTCTGTTTGAATACAAAGATCATCTAAAGTGCCCGTCATCTATTGATAGCCTGTTTTATAACTCCGTGCATACAGAGAATTCTGTTCTAAAGACAGGAGCTCAAAATGTTTTCCTAACAGTACTGATCACTACTTCCCACAGTTTGTAACTAAATCAATCTAAAGTTAAAAACTGAGTGGGTTATACAGATAAAATATATTCCAATTGGCTACGTCTAGATTGGCCAGTTTTTCCGGAAAATCAGCTGCTTTTCCGGAAAAACTTGCCAGCTGTCTACCCTGGCCGCTTGAATTTCCGCAAAAGCACTGACTTCCTACTGTAAGAAATCAGTGCTTCTTGCAGAAATTCTATTCTGCTCCCTTTCAGGCAGAAGTCCCTTTTGCGCAAAGCTTTTGCGCAAAAGGGCCAATGTAGACAGCTCAGATTTGTTTTCCGCAAAAAAGCCCCGATCGCAAAAATGGTGATCGGGGCTTTTTTTTGCGGAAAAGCACATCTAGATTGGCACGGATGCTCTTCCGCAAAAAGTGCTTTTGCGGAAAAGCGTCTGAGCCAATCTAGACGCTCTGTTCCGAAAATGCTTTTAACGGAAAACTTTTCCGTTAAAAGCACTTCTGGAAAATCATGTCAATCTAGACGCAGCCATTATGTGTTAGCTCGTAATTCCACTTGAACAACAGTGCATGGACAGAGTGGTTTCACTTTTCTGATTTAAGTTTCTTTTTGAAATGGTACATTAATGCAAATCACCATAAACATAAATCTGCTACATGACAACAAAATATCATTTTGTTAAAGTCATTCCCAAATCAATTGATTTTCACCACTTACTTGAGTGTCTTTCCACTTGGTAATAAAGCTGTTCTCTGTATCCATTTGTTTGACCTGATCTTCATTTATCTGTTTAAAATGGGTATTTTGGTAAGTTAGAGTAAAATTAGCATAACACTTCCTCCTCCATAGTGGATTCTTTATGTTGGCTAATAACACTAAAAAATCAAGTGAGATCATTATATCCTTGAAGGAGTGGTTACACTTACAATGTTTTTCATCTGGAGATTTTCCCCATTTTCAATCCAGAAGCCCTAATATTGATCAACTGTAAATCTAAAGAGAAGATTGTTGCATACCACTGAGCTGCTTATAATATCAACACATTTCCTCTGTGGCCCCAGATTTAAAAAAAAAATGCTGCATAATGGTCACAATAAATCCAGTTGGTTTGGTGCTTTTGCGAGGAACATTGGAAGCAGTTTCTCTTTCTCTCTCTCCTTCAAGAGCTCATTAGAGTAAAAAATCTGGGAATACGCTATTCTGTCATACCTTAGTTGCAACAAGGACCATAAAAGGTGAACAAAAATACTACTTTTAAATATCACTATCTTGAAATTCACTAAAAACTATGCAACCTTTTTGCCAGTGAGAAAAGTTGTGTTCGTTCATTTGGAAAAGACTGATTCACAGCAATTCTATAAGCAAAGCTTTTTCTCTGCAGTCTAGGCTAGTTCAGAATTAATGTCTAAAAGCAACCAAATAAAAAGCAAAGGCCACAGAGTTAAAGCATCAGAGAACCCTGCACACTGTGAAGAAGTGTAACCAACATTGGAAAGAAACATTTGTGAAGGCAACATCATAGTGCAAGGTCATGAAATGCATACAGATTCTCATACATTTTATAAAATTTTACCCCCAGAGCACTTAGGTCACTACATTATGTAAGATACTTACATCAAAGAGTTGTACATAATTTTTAATTAGATCTTCAGTTACACTGACTTCTTCATTAGTATGCCCTTTGGTCTGAAATAAGTATGATGAAAACACCATGGCTAGATTGTGAGGGTTCATATTATTGATTTCTGAACATTTCTGCACCCTGTTTGAAGAAGAATAAATCCATTTAGAATACTTCACTGTTGTTGACATTGTTCAAAGCTCGACTCATAAACACAAAGTGCTTTTTCAAACAGCCATATTTTCTACAGTATAGTTTTATAAAACAAAATTAACCTATTATTATCTAGTCTGTTCCATATAACGTAATGTTCTTATGTGCTTTTACGCAAATATTAGTTAATGTTTTCTTTAGGCTTCGGTTTATGGTGGTGAATAGTATCACATCAGTAATCATTTTCCATTTGCTTCATTTTGTGATCTATATAAGTTGGAGAAGGTCAGAAAATGGGGGAAGAGACAATGGAACCTTAAAACAAAATTTAAGGTGAAATTTTCTAACTGGTTGCACTGGTTTTTTTCCCTTAAGGTTGGAAGTGACCATTGTGATCATCTAGTCTGATCTCCTGTATAATGCGAGCCATAAAACTTCCCCAAACAAATTTCTACAGCAGAATTTGATTAAAGACTTGTCTGATGTAAAATCCACCATGACCTTTTGTAAATTGTTCCGGTAGCTAATGACTCTCAATTAAAAACATACTCCTTATTTGAAATTATCTAGCACCAACTTCCAGCCTCTGTCACTATAGCAACAAACAATCCTATGGATTTCTTTATAAAAATCCCAGGCCTGTCAAACACTGAGAGAATGGAGTCTTTGTTCCTCTGCTGAAGCATGCAGCTTTGGGAAGAATGTTTTTGGGGGCACTGAAGAAGAGAAGCTCTTCTATTTAGCAAGGAATATAGAATGGGCTCTAAAGGACTGAGGGAACTGGAGCTCAAAGATGATGAAGTTGATCTTAATCTGATATGGGCCAAGGAACTAGTGGTATAGTTTCTGCTGTGCAAATGTGTTCTGTAAAAAGCCATACCTTTTGTTCCAAAGGATAGACCAGGCCTTTTTGATATTATACAGAGAATAGCTTGGTAAATCTAGGGGGCAGTTGCTGTCCTGAAGGGAAGAATTGTACTGAAAATGATTGGAGCATACTAGGAATCAGAGAAAGTATGTATGGGGAGGCAGAACGTTTACATGAAAGTACACATCCTTCATACTGAAAAACTGTGAAACACATGCCCTATTCTACAGATGCAATTATCACTGCTAATATAATTATGTAAATTATGAGTTTGTAAACAAAGTGGCTGAGATGGCAGAGAGAGCATACTGCACAGATACAAATTTCTATTCATGTATGTGGATATCCATGAATAGAAATTGATATTTGTTGAGCTTCAGGGCTCTACTACTGAGAACTGCAGCAGCTTAAGTTGAGAAATGTGGCACTGCCATTCTTAGGAGCCAGAGTCTCATGCCAGTGTACCCACATGCCAAAGGGATATGGTTCACTATCCCATGTAGAGGCACTTATACCACTTACAGTGAGAGATCAGAATGAGTGAGCTCTACAGCCAAAGTTGAGAGCCAGTTGGCTTTATAGCTCAAGCTGTAGAGGCTCCTACACTAAGCTCCAGAGGTCCCAGGTTCAAATCTGCTTTGTGGTTACAAGTAGGAACCGCTAGAGCTTGAGCTATAAAGACAGCTGGTTCTCAGCTGAGAGCTCACTCATTCTGATTTCTTCCTGTAAGTGGTCTAAGTGCCATTACATGGGACAGGGAACCACACCCATTAGGTATATGGGTTACACTAGCAGCTCCTCCCAGCCATGTGGCTGTACTGCCCCCAGCGGGAACAGGATGTGGGCTGAAGGTACCCACCTTCACATGGCTGAAAGCAGCTGCCAGAGCATGGCACTGACTCCTGGGAATAGCAGCACCATATTCTTTTCTTTGGGTGCTGAAGTTCCTGGGACAAGAGGTCTGTAGGGATCTTTGAATATTGATTTCTTTCCACAGAAAACTGTATCCACAGAGAGAAATTCATATCCATGCATGCTGGTTTCCAACAGTCCTTTTTGAAAGGAGGCAGAGGGACATGTTCTATCATTTCTCACTGCAATAAGGCATTTGAGAATATTCTCGTGAGTTTTCTCCCTGGAGAGGGGTAGGAGTAGGAGTTTTAGAGATGGAAAGCTTGCAAATTATTGTATAGCCTGAATGGATTACACTCGACACTAACTTGTCCATTGTCACCACACTCCAGGTGTTGAAAAAAGACTGCCAGATAATCACCAAATGGTGTGAGGGAGGCAGGAGGTACTGGGCTTAGCATTTCAAGTCTCTTAAGCATTCATCAAAAATAACATTGAGCAGAGTACTGAGACTGAGATG